AAAAAAAAGATTCACGTAAATCCTTGACAAACCCAAAGTAATAAAAAAAATGTATATCTCATAGCATTTTTGTTCAGAACTGAAGCTAGCTTTGGATTGTAGATCCTTAATCATCACCATCTCACAGGATATAATATTTCACTTAAAAAGATAAGTTTTGTACAATGAATCAATTCCTTAATTTGGTAGAGCATCTATTGTTAATCTTTGGTAGGCACACAGTGTTTACAGGAGTACAATAAGACTTAATAGCTTAATGTCATAAAATAGTGTCATAGGAGAATACCATCTCTTAGCTAACTTTCTTTTTGTCCAGGTTGTAAGCTGGGAGAGGCATCTGATTTCATCGTCCGTCAGGGGACACTAATCCAAGTGCCATCTTCTGCGGGGGAAGTTGGTTGCTATAAAATTTGTTCATGTGGACAAAGTGGACTTTTAGAAAATTGTATGGAGATGCACTGTGTAGACCTCCAGAAATCTTGCATTGTTGGAGGAAAAAGAAAAAGTGAGTCTTGAACTGCATTCATTTGCTTCTTGTCTTTAATATAGGATTATTTATCTTAACTTTTGAGAAAGACCATTAGATGAATTCTTACCAGTAAGTAAAGTGCACAAATCAGATACTACAGGGCAATAGTTTTCAAAATGTACTCTGCAGGGCACTAGGACTTCTAAGGATCCCTCTTCAAGGCCTCCTCAGAGGGACTAATGAATGCTTGTTGAACCATGATGCTAAATCTTGGTCCACATCTCCTCATTCAGTCTTCCCAGTTATCTTTGGATAAAAGTGATCTCTGAGAGGAAATGCAGATGACCAAAAAACATGAAAAAATGTTCAACATCACTTGTAATAAAGGAGATGCAAATCTTAAAAAAAAAAAGTATGCATTTCACTGAAAAGACTTTGCTAATGTTGGCAAACATCATCTGCCACTCATTCATAATGTCAGTTATTCATTTCTTAGGTCTTATTCTAACTTCTCTAAAATGGAATGTAGGTAACTTGAGTCACAGAATATATCTGAGGATAAACAAATTGATTCCTTTTATACACTTCACTGACTAAATGCCTACTCTATCCAAAAGAAGATGCTAGTGCTTAGGAAGCTGGTGCTGGAATGGAGGTTTTGCATGATAAGACAGGAGGGAATTTGAACCACACAAAGGAGCTCTTCAAGGAGCTAGTATTCTGCAGGTCTCAACCCAAAGATAAGCATCAGGGTAGTCTTGGGGGGGGGGGACATTCTAGAAGGAGAAGAGGGGCAAAAGGACAGAAACATTCTCAAGAAAGGGAGCAGTGTGGTGAGACCACACAATGGCAGCTGGAAGGATATGATAAGAGGCAAATATGACAACTTATTCAGAATGTAGAATATATTCAGGATATAGTTTATATATTCAGAAATCTTTCAGGAATTGCCATTTAAAATGGAAATAATTGCAATTTTATCTTATACCTTGTTTGTAAATGCATGTAGCTCAATAGTGTATTCTCTTTCTCTCAGGTCATGGAACATCCTTTAACATTGACTGCAATGTCTGCTCTTGTTTTGCTGGCAATTTGGTGTGTTCTACCCGCCTGTGCCTCAGTGAGCACAGTTCGGAAGATGACCGTCGTACCTTCACAGGTAAACATGCTCACCCCTGTTGCCAGAAGCAGCAGTTTAGTCTGCTGGTATCTGTTGGTATCTACTTTGCTGCAGCTCTGCAATCCCTTGGGCTCTGGGTGGCAAACGGCCAGGAAGCTGCTCTTGCCCTGTTCCCTGCTGCTGCAGCGACTGGACTCTTCTTTCCCTATAGTTAGTTTTACTTATGAGGGGGAGGGATCGATCGACCTTGTTATCTCCTGCCCCTTGGAAATAAACAGAGATCAGAACTGGAATGGCAGTTCTGATCAGACAGGAATGGCAGGCTGATGTGAAGCAGAAGCAGGACTGACTCCACGCCATCTTCTCTGTACCCTAAGGAGTCCCGGCCTTCACCGCATCATCATCACCCCATCATCATGATCATTATCTTTTATTATGACTCTGTGTGTGCTCTAATGAAGATAATTCCTTTTGCCTAGAGAAACCATAAAACAATGTGGAGAGGAAGAATAAGCTAAGAATTTACACAGATGACTTACATCTCAGTGTTTGGGAGAAGTGACCTTTACAGCTAGTGGAACCCTGTCTCCCTGTTGTGTATGGCCCTTTGTTTGCTGGAGTAAATTAAATTCACGACTATTGAGCTTGCAAACTTTAAGGAGATTTTTCTGGCCCCCAAATCTACACTTGACTCAGAAAAATGCATTTATAAAAATTCTTAAGTTTCTTAAGTAATTTCCCAAGTTACTCTCTTGTTCCTTCCCCTCTCTAGGGAAAATGGAAGGAACTTAAGCAAGGAATTTACAACCTTTGCTTTTTTATCCTCTTTTTTTTTTTTTTTTTTGGTTTAATTTTTCTTACTTTTATTTTTGCAAAGAAGAATTGGAGTACGGCCAGAGGTGCAGGGGCAGGGAGTGAGAGGATTCACCAGAGACAGAGTGAGGAACGGAACAGGTGGACTGACTGAAATACACTGCTGAGCGCCACAGGAGAGATCTCCTGCGCCATGTGGTCAGTGCCTTGGCGTTTTGGCATTAGTGCTGAAATGTAAGCCCTAGGCCACTTCCCTTTTTTTTTTTTTTTTTTAATCTTTTTGGTGTTACCTTTTAACATTTCAGAAATCCCCCAAGCCAAATCTCAAATATCTGTATTTAGATTTTCCATGCTAACTTAGGAGAAACATTGTTTACCTTTCTGTGAATAGCTTTGTTTCTAGGGGCTTCTGGGGGCAGATTCTGCATGGAGGCCCTCTATTAGCTGGCAATAAACCAAACAAGGGAAGCCTGCATGTACACAGGTGACTTGAGGACCGTACTGCCTTTGATAACTGTCAGAAATCAGACTGTGTGTGATCGTCTGATTGTGTGTAACTTAATTTCCATTTCTGTTTTAACATGAGGTCTCCGTGTGATTGCTGATGTTTTACCTTAAGTAGGGAGGGGGAGGGGATTGGAAAAGCACAGGTACACGCCTCTGAAGCTCTTCGCTCCCCTCAGGTCTACCCTGTAACTGTGCAGATCAGTTTGTCCCTGTGTGTGGGCAGAATGGACGCACATACCCCAGTGCCTGCATTGCTCGCTGCGTGGGCCTCCAAGACCATCAATTCGAATTTGGATCATGCATCTCCAAGGATCCATGCAATCCTAACCCCTGCCCAAAAAACCAAAGGTAAGTCCACAACGCCTTATCATTTTCATCTAAGGCCAGCACTTACTAAGCATCCACTGGTACCAGACAATGAGCATACAAAGGTGAATTAAGAAGGTCTCTGCTCTGGAGAGTTTGGAGTCTAGAGCAAAAGAGCCACGCACAGCTGCCGGCCGTGAGCTGTTGTTACAGGGCAACTCTCAGTCTGAACTGGGCTGCCTGACTGTGGGTCCTCATCCGTGCGCCTAAAAGGGACTTATAATAAAACTCAACTGCAGGAACACACAAAAGGTTAACAATGGGTTTATTTACAAGGGAAAGGGAAAATTAATAACTCAGGGGAAAAGAGAGAGGGAAGGATAAGTTTGTTAATGCATCTTACCAGTTCTGCTGACCTAGAACCCAAATACCACACTGAAACCTGGTGAAAAGCCAAGAGCTCAGCTGCGAGCCACAAGGCCAAGAGACCCCTCAAAGCCCACATGTCTGGTTTTACAACAATACAAACAAAATGGCTGCTTAATTCCGCCCTCGGGTCCTAGCAGTCCTTCCTTTGGTTACTCTGAGATTTGTTCTAGCTTCAAACATTGGCTTCAGACTACAAATCCCAGCATCCCAAAGGGGGAATTGCTAGGACCTGAGGGTGGAGTCCACAAAACCTGTATCTGTAAAAGTTCATTCAGGACATCCTTTCCCCCTAACACTGTGATAGGGCCCAGAAACAGAGTGGGTGAGGCAGCCTAGTGGCCTGAGAAAAACAAGAGAGGATGCAGTAGCTGGAAAGGAGATTGGGAGTCAGAGAGAATAACAGGTACACAAATCATGTGACCCCTGGAAATGAGATTACACGCTGTACACTGGGAGCCACGGTTTTTCTACAGACAGAAAGTGTGAGATAAGGAGAGCAGCTGAGATGAGCAATGGTGTGTTCATCTCACTAGCACTTAATGCCTGATGGATAATGCAAAGTTTTCTTCTGCTTATCTGCATCCATTTTAGATATTGCACTTAAGAATTTTATGAAAATGCAACTTTAGTATTACTTGGAATTATTTGTCTAGGGGGCTCCTTTTTCTGTAGTTTCCTCATGGCCTCAAGGACCTACCCTCAGCAAGGGGTCCCTGCACTTGCCGACCGCAGGGCACATGTCCGCACACTCTACTGGGCATCAAGCTTCACTGGCTGCTTCAGAGACCCAAGCAGGGTGCAAGCCAGTACCACAGTCCTTTCCTTATTTTACAGAGAATAAGCAATTGTTCCTTCCCCTGAAAGTCCTGGTGTAGAATGGAGGAAGGGAAAGACCTTCTCCTGTATTAAAAGAAATGTTGAAGAAACTTGGTAACCTCTTTGGAAATTTTATACCATTAAAACTGAGCTACAGAAGGCCCTCCCTGGTGGCGCAGCGGGTTAAAGCACAGCACTGAGAATCTAAAGCCGCTTCTGCATGAGTTCAATTCCCGCCTGCCCCGGAGGTGACCACATGGTGTGGCAGACCTCTCCTGACCCGCCCACTGCTCCCCTCAGCAGTGTACTTCCTCAGTCTACCTGTTCTGCTCCTCACTCTGTCTCTGGTGAAGCCTCTCACCGCCCCTGAGCCTCTGGCCTGTACCCCAGTTCTGTATGCACAAATAAATAAATCTTTAAAAAAAAAAAAAAACTGAGCCACAGAAGTTTCTGTGGAAAGAAGACATGTGCCAGGCAGAAGAAAAGAGAGTCAAGGCAGAAGCCAAAGGATGGTACAGTTATGTTGGCAGGTGGAATTATGGGATGCTTTGGTATTTTTTGATATTTGTTTTTTTCCCTTACTTAGCTAACCTTTCTGAGTAAGGTTGTTTTGCCTATATTATTAATGACTAAAATCTCAGAGAGGGAAGGCTTTTCTGTATATTATGCAAAAGCAAATATAAAAGACTGAAAAATGCAGCCACATAGAAATGAAAAATGTATGCATGGTCACAGACAAATGCTAAGCTGGAAAAAGCATCACAGAGAAAGAGCTCATGTTCTTATAATATGAGGACCCCAACAAATCAATATGGGAAAGAGCAACCTAATAAAAAAACTAGGTAGAGCTTAATAACCTAATCTATAGTAGACCAAGGACATCGACATAGGAAAAGAAATCCAAATAGTTCTTATTCACATGAGAAGATGCTTTTATTGGGCATTGTAAGCACACGTGCTTCTGTTGATAAACCCAAATATTGTACCTTAGTGTAAAAGACATTCCATACACCTGGGTATTGAGCAGGTGGCGGGTCCCAGGTCACCCAGGTTAAGGATCTTCCAGCTCCTGTAGCTTTGTAGCCCCTATGTCGTCTGCCTTTGCCAGCAGTAGGAGAAGGGAGATGGTAAAGGTTACGCTTGGAAAACTTTTATGGGCCCGAGCTACAGTTGACATTTATCTCTATTTCCACCACATTCCATTGTGTACAACTGTCACTTGGCTACAAATGACTGCCAGGGAGACTGGGCAATATAATGTAACGTGTCTGGGAAGAGAATTAGATGAATTTGATGCACATCTAGCCAGTTGCCATAATGCTAACCTTCCTCACATTAAGAGAAACATAAATTAAAACTACAATTGTGTGTTCAAGGTTAGCAAAGATGAAGAGGTTGATAACATAATATAGGGGCACAGACAGCTCTCATACAAGAGGGGGCTGGTCCACCCTCCATAAAACATCCCTGGATGAATAAATAAGACACTGGTAATGGTGATTGCCTCTAAGGAAGGAAACCAGGAGAACACCAAAAGGAAGGAGACTTATTTTTCACTATTTACCATTGGTACTTTTTCATTTTCACTATGGGCTGATAATCTGTTCAAAATGTTTGACAAGTTAGAAGTTCTATTCATTCAGCACACGTACCAGGCATCTTTTAAGCGCTTGGACACAGCAGTAGGCAAGCGAGGGCCCTGCCCCCAGCACGTTTGCTCTCTGTTGTCTCCTGGATCTTCAGACTCTCCCACAACTCATTTCTGTGTATTCAAGTTGATAGTCTTTCCTTCCAAGATTACCTAATTTCTCTTCATGTTCGTTATTCTCATCCCTTTCATGTTAATGGATAATGAAATTCTAAATATTCTCTTGAATTATTTCTCTTCAGATATCTTCAGTGTCCATAAAACCATAACTAAGTACATTCTCCTTTTAAATTCCATCAGAAAAGGTGACCAGATGGTGGTGGTGGCCAATTCTGTGCAAGAAGCTAAGAGAGTAGAAATTAAAACAGCATAGCTACTATATTCTTTCATTTTATAGGTTGTTTGTGTATCCAATTACTTAGGACACCCAAGAAAATGAAACATTTTAACAGAGCTTAACTTCTTATAAAAAGTTATAATGTCCGCCCTGGTGGCATAGGGGTTAAGTCTCAGCACTATCCCAGCCAAAGCCTGAGTTTGATCCCTTGAGTTCAATCCCCAGCCAGGGAGGTGACCCACATGGCACAGCAGACCTCTCCTGTCTCACCTGTCCTCAGTGTATTTCAGTCGATCTGCCTGTACTACTCCCCACTCTGTCTCTGCTGAATCCTCTCACACCCCACACCTCTGGCCTATACCCCAGATCTTCTATGGAAAAAATAAAATAAAAATAAACCTTTAAAAAAAGTTATAAATACCATTTTGCAATGAGGCAAGAAGAAAAGAGCATTGTCCCTAACCCCTCTGAAGAAGTTCAGGAATTCAGAGTGAAGAGAAGGCCCAGGTAGTCCTAGGAAAGGGTGGCTTCATGGAGTGGCGTCCTCTCGGTGGTGCACAGCCAGCAGCTTCATGTCCTCAGGCTTGTGGGAGCAGAAACCGGAAATTTCCAAAACATACTGTGAGGTCTTCTTTTAAATAGACTCATATTACTCCAGCTGAGTATTAAGCACCTGGAAGTGTTTCCTTTGTTGCTGACTACAAGGCATTGGGCTCTTACCCATCTGTTCACTCTGAATGCCATTTCCACCCCGTGCATCCTTTGTTCCTGCCCTTGGGGTCAGCTGCCCAGTCCCTCGGCGCCAGTCTCTTTAGCCTCTCACCCCTGCTCATATTGCCCTCTTTGCCTGGCCTGTGCAACTCTCCTCGGCCACCGCCTCTTGGGGCTTTCTCCTGCCCCCCACCACCCAACCCAGTCAGGACTCATTCATGAGCTTGGCGTGTGTAACTTTACCTGAGGACCAACTTCCTCTGCATGCTTGACACTCCCTCTCCACAGGCTCTTTAGGAGACGAGCTGTCTCTTGCTGGCTCCCCAAGCTCCTGTGCCCGTCAGTGCCTGGCTGGCCCCACCTGAGTCCCTCCCACGGTGGCTCATAGCTCTGCATTTGTGTTTTCAGATGCATCCCCAAGCCCCAGGTCTGCCTGACAACTTTTGATACGTTTGGATGTAGCCAGTATGAGTGTTTGCCAAGACAGCTCACTTGTGACCAGGTCCGCGATCCTGTTTGCGACACGAGCCACATGGAGCACAGCAACCTCTGCACTTTGTACCAGAGAGGGAGGAGCCTCTTATACAGGGGCCCGTGCCAGGTACCGTTGCTGTCTCTCAACCCAAGTCATGAGCGTAAAAGTGATTCACAGGCATTTACGGATCAATCAGTGTGGAGTCTTCTACTTGAGGGTCTTCTGTGAACCCTGTCGAATCTGGAGAGCTCAGCCCTCCACTAAAAGTCCTCCATCCCCAGACTGACTCTTCCAGTAACTTGAGAGGGTCAGCGTGCCCTTTGCCCATCAGTGTACAGGCAAGGTTTGAGTGACCTCCTAGAGCCCAGCGCGCTCTTCAGAATGTAAAGCTTCACACCCCTGATGTGCATCAACACTATTTTCACTTCCTGAAGTTCTGCGGGCCCTTATAAGAAAACAAATCAGGAAGAATGTGAGTCAAAACCAAACAAGAATGCCTCCCCACCCCACTTTTCCCTCCAGCAGTACTGAAGAGACATCGAACATTTCTCCATGACTTAGTATCTTTTATATCAGTTTATCTGTCAGTCAAATATGTATTTATATTAAAAAGTCAACCCAAGGACACCCCACACAGGCTCCCCGACGTGTGCCGACCGCCCTAGAGGAGCCCTGGCCCCAGGTCCAGCCCTCTGCCTGGTCTGATGAGGCCGTGTCTCACCACTGGTCCCCGCTGTGAGGCGCAGCCCCCAGCTTGTCTCCCTACACTTGTTTCCTCAGAGCTCATGATCCAATTGCATCTTTACCTGCCACTCTCAATTCTCTGTCCTTTCTTCCTATTTGTTCCTTTTCCTGGCCTCCACTTTTCTCGTACCTATCCCTAACCAACCTGATGGATCCAGACTGCTGCCGCTTCCCTTTCCTCACTCCATACCCAGCAAGAAATGATAAGGCCTCCATATCTGCGTGAAGATTGAATTTCTTTTTTTATTCAGATATTTCTGGAGTAGTGTTAGTCTGGAGGTGGGGGAGTCTGCACATGAGATAAAGCCCCAGGTCCCAGAGAGACTGAGAAAACTCATCTCTTCCAGTCACCCTGACACAGCTTACTGCCAACCTTACCCCCACCCCATGCTCACCCCACCCCATGCCACCATGTAGCTCAGTGCAGAGGGGCCCAGAATCTATACCTCTCTTCTTTGTTTCTTCTGCACTGTACGCTTGCTTAGAGAAGTTCACCAACGTGATGTGTCGCCCCGCCCCCCGCAGGCTTTCTGCAGAGCCAAGGAGCCAGTCTGCGGCCACAATGGAGAGACCTACAGCAGCGTGTGCGCGGCCTACTCGGACCGCGTGGCGGTCGACTACTCGGGGCCTTGCCAGGCCGTGGGCGTCCTCTCAGAGCACAGCTCTGTGGCCGAGTGTGCTGCTGTGAAGTGTCCTTCGCTTTCAGCGGCTGAGTGCAAACCCATCATCCCTCCTGGTAGGCCAGCCTCTCTGGGGTGGGGTGTAGGGGGGTGGGGGCCACACCCACCTCCAGAGAACCGAGATACTAAGGAGAAGGGAGGTAACTGATTTAAGTGTTTCAAAAAATCTTGGCTCTGATATGATAAGATGCATTACCTGTAAAAGTTGTGAATTGCTAGATATCATCTAGTCTGGTGCTTTTAAAATGCTTTTAAAATGTAAGTATTTCGGCCCTCCCTGGTGGCGCAGCGGGTTGAAGCGCAGCACTGAGAATCTAAGGCCGCTTCCGCATGAGTTCGATTCCCGCCTGCCCCGGAGGTGACCACATGGCG